AAAGTGTGCAAAAAAAAACTACTGTCTCAAACCACTGAGGTATTTACTAGTGACACTTCATTCAATAGCACTACAGAGCTTATCAAAAGGGCATCTTTGGGGGCGCCTGGGTGGCTCAGTCAGTTAAGCGTCCGACTTCGGCTCAGGTCATGACCTCGCGGTCCCTGAGTTTGAGCCCGACGTGGGGCTGACAGCCTGGAGCCTGCTTCGGATTCTGTGTCTCCCTCTCTCTCTGCCCCTCCCCCACTCACTCTCTGTCTCTGTCTCTCTCCCCCCCCCCCTCAAAAATTGAATAAAACATTTAAAAAAATTTTATGTGTGTGGGTGGCTCAGTCGGTTAAGCCTCCAACTTTGGTCCCGGTCATGATCCCATGATTTGTGGGTTTGAGCCCCGTATCAGGCTCTGTGCTGACAGCTCGGAGCCTAGAGTCTGCTTCACGTTCTGTGTCTCCCTCTCTCTCTGCCCCTCCCCTGCTCGTGCTCTGTCTCTCTCTCTCTCAAAAATAAATACAGATTAAAAAAATTTTTTTTTAAGATTTAAATAAAAGGGCATTTTTGTGCTGGGTTGGAAAGTCCTTGAAGGTAGACAATTTGTCTCATTCCTCTTTACGTACCTTGAGATTCTTGCACTAGTTAGCAACTCCTAAGTACGTACTGAAGGAGGCAGAAGACCCACATTGAATCCAAAGTCTTCTACTAACTTCATGTGGTACCCTGGACGAGTCATTTGCAACAGTGGGTCTCAGATTTCTTGTCCATAAAATAACAAGTTTGAACTGCACGGACTTTCAAAAATCCATCCCGCTCTTATAGTATAAAATGGCATGAAAGAAAGAGCCAATGATCAAATGACTTTCATAGCTGTTCTCTACAAGTTTTCACTTCACCACTGAGATGTCTTTCTTGAGAACCTTTCGGTTTTAGTTAGCATGTAATTTCAGTTTTCATTACACATTTACAGCATCAGTACATAGGACTGTTGTGTTGCTACAATAAACTGTTTCAGATTGTTCAAAATTATAATTTTGGTCAATTCTCCAAGAACTTTCCACTCAGAGATGTCATACTTGAAATGCAAAGGCCAAAACAGAGAGCTGGCATGGCCCAAAGTTTGCCGTAAGAGAAGAAAAAATATTCTTTTTCTTCCGATGTCCTCTGCCTTTAATGCATCTCCCTAAGCCACAAAAGTCCTGAATGAGGTGGTACTTTTCCCATAAGGGCCTTGGTTAAAGGCCTTACCTCCAGAGCCTTACCTCGCCAGCACATTGCTGCCAACGAGCGTTATAGATAACTTCCCTTCGTCATTTAGCTGATGCAGATTAATTTCATCTCGGAATATGTGGAACGATTCAGAGATGTTCAGCTCTTCTAAAATAAACCTCGTCTCAGTGAAGTAATTGAATTCAGTTCTTGGTATGTTCAGCACTGGCAAACAGAGAACTCCAGGTGGACTGACCTACCGAGAAGAAAGTTGGCTGAATCAGTGACAACAGCGAGAGGAGAAAGAGCACAACTCCGTTTTTTACACGCCCGAGGGTAATCGTAAAGCGAACAAAAGTCTTTTGGCCTCACGAACCCGGATGACATTCAAAATCGATTCTTCCCGAACCCAACTAGTAGAGCAGTATCTACAGGCAAATGGCCCCTAATATTTTTTAAACACTCGTTACTCTCCAGAAACCTCTCGTGCCTTATTTTAAATATCTTATGTCTCATTTCAACATCTCCACGATTAAAAATATATATATGCGCGCGCACACACACACACACACACACACACACACACACACACGCGTTCTCCTTTTCAGGGGAAACAAATTCATAGGTCTTTATGGAATTAGCAGAAAATCAGAATGATCACTGCAGGGCGGATGAGGACTGTGTTGATAGAGAAAGGCATGTACGTCCCATGTACATGGGATGCCTGCCATTGAGCTCCAGCCAATGGTTTACATGCAAAAATTTCGGGTTTTTTCAGGATAAGAATCTTTCAATTACTCAAGAAAAGCTGAAAATCTAGATTTGAGGCTGTTATCTACGATGTTTGTTACAATTAATTTTTCTAAATTAAAAACACTATGGAGGTTAACAAAAACTCATTTATGAGCCAGATTTGTCCTACACGCTACCAGATTGAGATCTCTGTTCATTTCTTATATTAGAAAAAAAAATCACATATTAACAAACTTGTTATTAAAACATTGTTGGGTGGGGATGCCTGGTTGGCTCAGTCGGTTAACCACCCAACTCTTGATTTCGGCTCAGGTCACGATCTCGCGGTTCGTGGGTTCGAGCCCCACGTCAGGCTCCATGCTGACAGCACGGAATCTGCTTGGGATTCTCTGTCTCCCTCTCTCTCTGGCCCTCCCCTACCTGTGCTCATGTGCGTGTGCTCTCTCTCTCCAAATAAATAAATAAAGTTAAAAAAATGTTTTAAAAAATTGTGGTAAGAAGGGGAAACAGGAGACGGTAGGAGTTGGAGAATTTTAGATTCACATACTTTTCTATAGGAATTTTTTTTTTTTTAATTTTTTTTTTTTCAACGTTTATTTATTTTTGGGACAGAGAGAGACAGAGCATGAACGGGGGAGGGGCAGAGAGAGAGGGAGACGCAGAATCGGAAACAGGCTCCAGGCTCCGAGCCATCAGCCCAGAGCCCGACGCGGGGCTCGAACTCACGGACCGCGAGATCGTGACCTGGCTGAAGTCGGACGCTTAACCGACTGCGCCACCCAGGCGCCCCAGGAATTTTTTAAAAATAAAGGTTCTTTGAAAAATTACTATGAGTGCACAGCAATAAACCCCAAATGCCCTGAGAGAAGGTGGGGTTTGGTAACACTGAATTTTTGCATAAAGTAAATGGCCTTTGTTCTCACATCATCACCCGCTCTGTCAAAGCATAGTGCTTATTACACAATTTTAATATCTTTGTCATCTATCTCCTTTCCCGGCATTAACAAGGCAGCGATTTTTGTCTTTTTTGTTCAGTCATGTTTTCTAGTGCATAAAACAATCTGGCACATAGTAGGCATTTAATACTTGTTTGTTGAGTGAAACAAATGAACCACCCATTGCTATAGTATATAAAGCACAAAGCCGTTCCAACAAAGTGCTTTTTCTTTTAACTGTCAGGCTAATCCTGAATCACAGTTGGGCAATAATCATTAGAAATTTATGTATAGCCAAATCAAAACCACACTGAGATACCACCTCACGCCAGTCAGAGTGGCTAAAATGAACAAATCAGGAGACTATAGATGCTGGCGAGGATGCGGAGAAATGGG